AGACTTTAGCAATTAAAGTAATGGTCATAAATGCAGCATAACCCGGGAATTAAACTCTTAGCACCCACTTAAGCAGGAAAGAACCTCAGTAAATATTCTACTTTTTCTCCTCGAACCTTGGAGAAAGTCCTAGAACACATGGGATATCCTTCATCCTGGGTGCTTCCTCGCCAAGGGCTGAGCTTTTTGTCTAGATAGTTAACTGCAGCCATCTCCTCCCTCTATCCTTGGATTACTATTAGGGATCGGGTCTCTCAACAGTTCTTCCTAGAAGCCTAGGTGTTTAGTTTTCTCCTTTCCCTTTAACTATGAGCGAGTCATAGACAAAAAGTGGCAAACACACTCTAAAAGGGGGGAAAAAAGAAAACGCACCATTTCTTCAACATCACAACCCACTTGGAAACCATATCCATCGACTTACAGATCTACCATGTTTATCATATAGGTCCTGGTCATGATGAGATTTCAGTTTAAGCCAAGAGAAAGCACAAATACAACAGGAGAATCCTAAAATGTTCAGCAACCATCAGAAAGAGCTGGAGCACTTGTTTCAAATCACAGGAACCACAGAGACTGGAGCAACTGCTCTGGCCTCTCATGCGTGAGAGGGTAAATCAAGGGCTCTTTCCCAAGGCTGCTAGGGCTCACTGGGGCTGGGTGATCCAGTTTGTGGCTCTTGTGTGTCACTGAGTACAGTGCTTATAAGGGTTAATATTTATTGATGGCTACATCCCAGCTATAGATATAAGCACTGTACTAACTCATTTAATTCACAAAACAACCAACTGAGAAAGTTACTATTATCTCCCATTTCACAGATGAGGAAGCTGAAGCCCCGAGAGGTTGAGTAACTTGCTCAAAGAGCCACAGTGAGAGAAAGTAGCAGAGCCAGGGCACAAACTCAAGTGGTTGGCTCTAGAGGCCACACTCTTTAATTTGGGTCTCATGGCCTTTGCCTGTGCCTGCAAGGACACTGCTGGGGCTCTCCCTAGGTGGAGACAGTATTCCTATATGTACAGCTTTTTACTCTTGCCCCCCTGTCACTTTCACAAGGCAAACTGTGCCAGAAGCTCCCTAAAGCAACGAAGACACAGTTCCTCACATCCTTTTATAGGGGACATATAAAACCTCTGGTCCATGGACTTTTTTTTTTAATGGAAAGAGATGGATCTCTTTTCTCTACCAATCTCTTTCTCTCTCTCTTCCCTGGGACAAAAGTGTATGAGCTGAAAGAACAAATAAAGGACTAACAAGGGGGAAGGAACAAAATGAAAAGCAGAGAAAGAATTAAGATTATGCTGAAAAGTAACTGTAGTCATTAGGGAAAAGCAAATTAAAACCACAATGGTGATATCACTTCACAACCTCAGGGATGGTCAACATAAAAAAGTCAGATAATGAGGAGTGTTGATGTGGAGAAACTGGAACCCTCACACACTGCTGGTGGGGATGTGAAACGGGAGCTGCTGTGGAAAACAATCTGGCAGTTCCTCAAAAGGTTAAACCACACAGCTGCATGTGACTCAGAAATTTCACTTCTAGATATGTACCCAAGAGAAATGTCCACAAAATGTACATGGATTTTCATAGAAGCATTATTCTTTCTTTATTTTATTTTAATCTTCACCGGAGGATATCTTTTCCTACTCCTTTTCAGAGAGAGCAGAAGAGAAAGAGAGAGAGAGAGAAATATCGATGTGAGAGAGACACATCAGTTGGTTGCCTCCCACACGCCCCTGACCAGGGCTGGGGATTGAGTCTGAAAGCGAGGTATGTGCCCTTGGCCAAAATTGAACCCAAGACCCTTCAGTCTCCAGGCCGACGCTCTAACCACTGAGCCAAACTGGCTAGAGCTAGAAGCATTATTCTTAATAACCCAAAAGTGAAGAAAATCTAAATGTCCATTAATTGATGAATAAATAAAAGGTGGTATATACATACACAGGAATATTACTTGGCAAAGAGGAATGTAGTACTGATACATTCTACAGTATTGCTAGACCTCAAAAATATTATGCTAAGTGAAAGAAGGCAGTCATAAAAAAATCCCCACACATTACATGATTCCATTTATATGAAATGTCCAGAATCGGTGATCCATAAAGAGAGATAGAAAATGGATTAGCGATTAGCTAGGGCTGGGAGATTGGTGAGTAATGACAAGTAACTGCTAATGGGCACACGGTTTCTTTTGGGAATTAGTGGTGAGGGTTGTACAACTCTGTCAGTATGGTAAAGGCCATTAAATTGTTTACTTTAAATGAGTGAATTGTATGGTATGTGAATTGTATGCCAATAAAGCTGTCATATTTTAAATAAGATTTAAAACCTGGTTACAAAGTAAAACTACTAGCCTATCCCAGGAGAACCTGTATCTTTGTGAATGAGAAACCATAATTGCAGAAGTGGCAGAAACCCTAAATCATTTAAGCAGGAAAGGGAAAAATTTCAGAAAGAAAGGCTATATGGAAAGGCGAAGGAGAAAATGATTTCCATGTAACGGAATTCCAAGATAGTGGGAGTGTGGGGGTCATATCACCCTAAATGTGTGTTACATGATGGGTTGTATAAATCTAAGTTCAGACCTTTTCCTCACCTGAAAGCTAGCAGCTCCAAAAATAAAGGATCTAGAGATGAGGTGAGATTTTTTTTTAGAGACTGAATTAAAGAGTTCACAAGTGTAAGGATTCTCTGGTACATTGCATCCCATGTTCACAAAATAAGAATATGAAACTAGCATCTAACACGTATTTCCTAAAATGAATTTAGAAATCTGACTCAAAGTTAACTAGAAAAATTAAAGCCTTCTGGAGCTAAGAGTAAGACACTGACAGCCAGACCAGTGCTGGCACTGTTTCAGATTCAGGCAGAAGGACTTAAGAGTGAAGTGAAGGGTTTGCCAAGCTACCGAGTCATGTATCTACTTATAATGAGACTTTAGCAGAAATCAATGCAATCTCTGAGTAAAGTGAATACAGAGTCTCTTAGTGTGGCAGTATGTCAAATGATACTATGGAAGTTTCATGGCTATTAGCAGATAGAGCATTAACACATTTTTCTAAACAGAATAGATAGTAGAGAATTTCATTTACATTTTTTAGGCTTTAACTTTCAAACTGTTACTAAGTCCTTTACTCCCACGAGGTCTTAATCAAGCATCGTTTGTGTAGAAAATCAGCTTACTGCTTTCTTTAAAAACAGGCGAGCCATTAATTGATCCAATGTGTTGGCAGTTCTGGAGAACCTTTTTAGACAGGAACAAATGATGCCTCTTAGTTTGTGTTCCAAGAAGCCAAGTTTAAGATTTCATGCATATGCACAAAGAAACATTGAAAGAATCCTGCAAAGTCAGCCAACAATCTTCTTGGCTTTTAAAGGGGAAAAAAAAAATCTCCTTCACACCACCCTACCAGTTGAAGTTAAGATATTTAATATGTTTATTTAAAGATACTTTACATGACTTAAAGTGCTCTTCCAAAGTCCTCCAAACCCTTGAATACCATAGTTTAAGTAATGCTCCTATGACTCGAGGTCAGAATACAGTCTTTCCCCCTACACAATTGTTGAGCTCAAGAAAGCATATCACATGTTCCCAAATGCACTATTGTAACTTTCCTAAGTTTACTGCCTCTCCACCTCTTCATTAACTGCCACATTGTATTTTCCTGCCCTAGGTGACAGAAGCATTGCTGTCCACACGCCACCTGTTTGTGTTCATGTTGACAGTTTCCTCTCCTAAAGCAGCTGGTGATGATTACCATAGGCAAACCAACTGGATATTTCACTAATAGGTGATACGAGCTCTTGGAAGAAAACTTGTCCCCAAAGAATGCACCCCTCCCCCGCCCCAGTGTAGCCAAAGCTCGGTGTTCCATTTCAGTAGTGTGACTGCTTATTCATATCTGGCTTTGAAGGAAAAATGATGTTTTTGCTTAAGCGGCTCCGGTCAGAAAATCCATCTGTCATTTCTATCACCTCCTCCCCCTGGATGTCACAGTCTCAACCCAGGAAGCCCTCTGGGGAAGGAGGGCGCGCTTCTCAGGCACACAGAAACAAGCAGCATCCCTGGACTCCGGGAGTCTGCTCCATCTAGCTGCTTATGCTGATGAGCCTGGAGAGGACTTCGTGTTCTTCCTACCACGGAAGCACCGCTATGTCAGTCAGGGAAAAATCGCCAGTTTCAGGGCAGTAACCTATTTCTAGTGCTGGCACCCTGCGATCATTAAGAAAAGCTTAGTCTTTCTATCCTGAAATCCTCTTATTGGCACAAGCGTAATTAACCTCCCGATCAAGCAAAAGACAATGCAATACTGAAAAAAGTAGACATAACTTCAGGGCCACCATGCTTTTCTTGGCTTGGTGAGAATTGTTATTATTTACCATGGTGCCCGCCTGTCAGCCTCTCCGGATGACAGCCGGGCAGAGCACAGGGCTTTTAACATTATTTATGATGTGTGTCAAAGCAGCGGGAGGGGCGGGGGTGCTCCATCTCCCATGAAGAACTGAAACCCGACTTAAGAAGCTAGTTCTCCGAGGTGAGCTGCTCACACCAGAAACCCTACCCACCTCCTGACACACAAGCGCCCGCACCAGGCGTATACCTGATGCACACGGCGAGTGCAGAGCTGACTTATCAGATCTACCTGCTCCACGCAGGTGCGGGGCCAGTCCCTGAGCGAGAACAATACCTGAGCTCGGCCCCAACCGCACCTTTCAGGTCCTGCTCTGAGAGGTCAGCCCACCTGGGCGGCGACCCCCAGTCCGGGCGCACGCATCTAAACTGAACACACTCCCTAGTCCCCCAATGCAGGTGGTCTTTTTTCTTTGTAAACCCCCCCAAAGTGACGCACAACAAAACTTAGAAGGTCCAGGGAACGGAGACGCGTCTTTGGCAAAGCACAGACTTCCCAGAAAGGGGGGGAGGGGGACCAGGCGCTGGGGGCTTCTCAGCACCTCCCCCCCGGGCTTCCCCGCCCCCCGCGCCCGCCGAGGCCGCTCACCTGCGTGGGACATGGTGATGGTCTCGTTGGTGTTGGAGCCCACGTTGAAGATGACCACGGCGGAGGCGTTCTGCAGGAACGCGTTCCGGATCTTATCCCGGTACGTGCAGTTGCCCTTGGGGATGAGCGCGATCCAGCTCTTGCCGTGGGCCGGGGCGGCGAACTTGGTGCTGGGGTCGCAGGCCAGGCGGTCGTGCGCCGCGCTGGCCATGACCACCTCCCCGCGCGCGTCCTGCTTGGGCGAGTGCTCCCCGTAGCGCCCGCACTCGGTCTTCTCGGTGCGCAGCTCGGGGCCGCCGCCCGGCGCGCCGGGGTCCGGCGCGGGCTCGGCGTAGGTGATGTTCACGAAGGCGGTGTACCATTCCTCCTTCTCGGCCACGGTGAAGTCCAGGCAGAGCAGATGCACGAAACAAAAGGAAAGCAGCCATGTTGAGAGAGCCAGACTGCGGCACGCTTGGATGAGAGACATTGCCATCTTTATCCGCCGGGGCC